GTGGCACGTTGGCAAATTTCCAGTAAGTCTTGGTAAAACTAACGTCATCGCTTCTATTGAAATCAGTGGATCAATGGGTGACCTAAGTTGAACTGAGCACGATTATTTTACCCGTGCAGAAACCGTATTGTTAATGCCCGAAACTTGGGCATGCATTTTCTTGGTCGGCAGGTTAATTCTGCGTCTGAGCCTTTCCGTAATGAAAGAACACTGAGAGCCCGAATCAATTAGTGCTCTCGCTGAGAAATTCGTGCCATTAAAATGAATGCCTACACGAGCTGTACCCAATAATACACCTTTGCTTGTGTTAGCATGATGTGTTTTTACCTTAGTAACCGTTTTGCTTTTGCCTTTTGTAGAATCGCGTCGCATTTGAAACACAAAGGTTCAGAAATCTCATTCCTGTTTGTTGCTTTTGGAGGTGCTGTTTGAACGTGTAGGAGTGAGTAATGTCGAGAATGACAGTTGGCGCAATTGAAAGAACTAGTGCATTTCGATACCAATTGTCCAAAGGCGAGACAGTTCAAACAACAATTATTGTTTTTTTACGAAAGCAACCTTGTCGTCTACGGATGATTTGCAAAACCTTGGACACTGATGCATCTTATGTTCGTTACTCTGGCACATTTTGCACATATATTCAGCGACACTTGTTTGAAAAGCGCCAAGTCTCTTATGCGAAGGACTTGGAATGCTTATAGTTCGGAACCTTTGGTGGCTTTGATTCCTCTTAAACCTGAGACTGATTCTAGCGTTTGGAACCTAGTTGAAAGGAATCGGTCCATATCTGTCCACTTGGAAATGTCAGTTTTATTCTCTACCGATTGTTCAAATAGTGAAAGTGTCACCTCCGGCAGTTTTGTAGAACATAGGTACGTTACTATTGGGCCCCAATTTAGAATATCGATCTGATGGCTTTCTAAGGCAGATATACAATTGTTGATATCCCTTTGTAATCTTTTGATCGATGTTCCACATTCAGTTTCGGCCGCCTTCAAGTTGAAGAGAATCTTCAATTGCGTATTGACCAGAATTCTCTCTTTTTCGTACCTATCGCAGAGATGCTTCCAGGCTGTGTTAAAGCCTTCATTAGTTAAGGGACACTTGCTAACAATCTCCTTGGCTTCACCCTGCGTTTTCTGTGTAAGGTGATATAGCTTCTCTACTGGTGTAAGCCGTTTATTCAAAATATAAATGTCCATGAACATGTCACGAAAAGTTGGCCATGTCAGGTAATCCCTTTTTTTTTTTTTTTTAAGTGTTTATTTTTAAGGTTTCGTACATCAATTTTCTTAATCTAAATAAACAAGATTAATAAATTTAAAGCGTGAATATAAGATACAATGTCCCAAATTGAGCTCTCAGCATCTGTGATTAACATTAATTCTATACTTTTGTGGTAATAATTATTACTAAGACAGTTTGTTCATTGATCACTAATAGATACAAGCATAGATTATATTTTAGGAGTATAATGAAAAAATTCAAAAAAAAAACATTATACAAATAACATATTTATTGGGTATAAGATAAAAACAGCCGATAAAAATTAAAAACTGAATGTTACGTATATTAGGTTAGTCCTGTTGCCACCAATATTTTAGGGATTTGAGATTTTCTAAAGCTTTGATATCTTTGAAAGGTATACTCATATCGAACCGAAGTTCGTTTTCTTCAGGGTTAGAGGATTTAATAGATTTATCTGTGGCTCTGCGGTATCTGTGGTACAAAATCGGCAGAGCCTCATAGTTTTGCACCAATATGTTTTTTATCAAGGTAGATAAATGCCTCTGGCGGGACAAGTCCTAGTTCCAGAGAGTTTTTTATGTACTTTTCGTTAGTGTAGAATGGCCCATTTATGAGATTGTTCATATCGCAGTTTAAGCATCTTTGTATGTGCTTCCTTATAAGATTAATCATGTAATTATCTATTCTGTGAACTTTGGATATTTTATAGAGGTGACTATTAGAATAATATTTTGTGTAATCGCTTTGTGGTGTTCTGTACAGTAAAGTGCATACTCTGAGACATTTGCGTTCAAAAATTCTAATTTTTTCCATGTAGGATGGAGATATGTTGAACCATATTGGAACGCCGTATGTAATTATAGGTCGTATTAAGCATTGATACATGATTATCTTTACTCTAGACGATAGGTGTCGTGAATAGAATAATTTTTTATATGAAAAGAATGCACTCGTGGCCCTCTTCAACTGCTTATTTACGTGATCATTGAAGTATAGAAACTTGTCCAGGTTTATACCTAAATATTTCACTGAGCTCTGTACCGAAATACCTGAGTCATTTGTATTTGATTTTATTCCAAATTTTTTCCAATTTTTCTGTATATCACGGTTACATTTTTTTACTGAGGGCCTAAATAAGATTGATTCGCACTTTTTTAGGTTTATTTTTAGGTGCCAATTTTTTGAATAAGTTTCAACCCGATTGAAGGCTTCTTGGAGATTTGAGTTTATGGCACACATATTGTTGTCTGCGTGATAGATGACGAGATCATCAGCATATGAGATGATATTTTCAATATTATCTATAAGGTCCAGAAGAAATATGTTAAA